ATTCTTACTTTTTTCATTCATCGTAGCCTAGCGACATGTGCATATAATAACAAAAGTATGGCAAACACAACATTTACTCTCAGTCTGCAGTTTTGCTTGAACCTTCTTAATGGCATTCATGAGGACCATATTCTCAGTCACTGTAACCTCATGTTTTTACAATCCTAGAAAAATTTTGAACACTGTACAATTTTCACTAATTCATGAAATTAATGAAAAAAAATTATTTCTTGCAAGATTATAAATTTGTTTGCAGTACTTGTCATTACTTTTTTGTTGATAGAAATTTTCAGAATTTTCGATTCACTGCTACAAAAATTTTCCTGCAGTTTCTCTAATAATGTTCAGACAAACCATTCAACTTATGGGGGTGGCAGGGGTTTACAACTGAGGGTTCACATTACTCAACCACATACTACATCATCTATTTATCTATTTCAGGTCTTAACATCTCTACGCATTCTTCTCATGATGAAACCTAATGTCATGCAGAGAGTTTGTCGACAGATCTCGTTTGGAATGCATGAATTACTACGCACCAATGCAGCTAATATCCATTGCCATGCCGACTGGTATACTATATTTACTATTATGGAGTGTGTAGGAGCCGGCATGACTCCACCACCAATCATACAGTATTCTGTAGATATTGATACAAATGCACCCCCTATCTTATTGGATAGTGGTGAGTTTCAAATACTTGTTCTTTGATTAGCTTTCTCAGTGTTATGACCAGCATAGATTTTATTATTTTATTAGTCAGTTAGGGGGACACATTGTCTTGTAGTGTAAATTAATACATATTTGAATTTAAATGCTTCTCTCAGATTGGTTGTCTCTGTGTATGATCAGCATATCCAGTATTGTATCAGTGAGCTGGGGGAACACATTGTCATTTTATGTAAATTATAATACAAATTCACCCACTATCTTAGTGGTTAGTGTTCAGTTGAATTTGAATGCTTCTCTCAGATTGGTTTTCTCTGTGTTATGATCAGCATATCTAGTATTTTATTGATGAGTTAAGTGAGCACACTGCCATGTCATGTAGATTAATACAAAGCCATGTTGCTGTGTTTCAGGTGCACAATCTGACAGTGAATTGTCTACTAGTTCATATGGTGTTGCTTCATCTGAACGGGGTTATACTTCTGATAGTGAATTATACGAATCACAGCAAAGAGTACAGCGTTCATCAACTGATATCGACATACAGTCATCAGCTAGCTCTACTACTGGTGAATGGTTACTGGTTAGTTACAATTTTTAATTTGATGTTATAGCATGACACTCAATATTTCAATATACGATTTTGTTCACTGAATACTGTATTCCGCTTGATTTTTCGTCTCTTGTAATTTAGCTCTGAAGAGTTGCTGACACTGTGTTGTATGACCCTACTGTAAAATTTCAAGATTTTGCGACTTAGTAGTAAATTTGTTTACAACTAAATTATAATCAGTTTGCTGTAGTATGTTAAAATTGCATTCTAGGGTAATGTGCACGAATCCACAAAGTCTTGATCTGTTAACGCCTGCAGTCCATAATACTGTAAAATACTTTATTTTCACTTGGAATTAATTTTCGCTGAAGGAATAATTCAGTGAAAATAAAATGCAGCGAATATACCCTTTTTTTCCTATATTTTACAGTCAACTCGTCAGAAATTGGTGAAAATAAATTCCATACATAACACCCAAAAAGTTTTTTTCAGCGAAAATTAATCTCGGCTAAAATAAAGTATTTTACAGTAGTAGTGTTCACACATAGCTCCTACGGGCTAAGAGGTCAAATACATTTGCCCATGCTAAGAAAACATGCGTGAATGCTTAGGTATTATATTCATAACAATTCATTTCGTAATGTCGTGAGAAAAATAAACTGACAATGAGACTATGTGCTACTTCCTGTTATTCTGCAATCTGCACTTTCTGAATTTGCTTTGGTATTGTTTTATAAGCATAGAACTAACAAGTATACCTTCCTAGTTAAATCCTAGTTAAATTGACTGAACATTTTTGTATATTCTTATCTATTAAGTTTTGGTGCTTCTTAGCCCATGCGCATGCTAACCAATTCCTTCAGTGCGTGAACGCAATTGGGTCTATCCGATATGCAAACATATGAGATTAGCTCACCCGGTGCCTGAGGGGAAGACGTGTAGTGGCGTGAAGCTAGGTGATTAGGTGCTGTACGCGAACGCCGGTTCGAGTCACACACGCAGTACATGTTTACTATAATTTGACGTAGTATTTACCTTGCCTTTTATTCAGTGTTTTTTGCTTACTTTACTTCCTATGTCAACAGCAACTATGAGTTTACAATTATTTCTCAGTACTTATTCACTGTTATAATGCTGTACCATTACTTTCACCATCCTCGTACAGCCAAATCTGAAGGCCTTTGCCGTATTCTGGCCACGTTGTGTGGCACGGATCATGTGAACGGGTTTCATGTTCTCTGCACGTAATAGGCTCGGTTATTAAGCACCCTTTTTTGGGGGTGGCCGAGGGGAAGACGTGTAGTGGCGTGAAGCTAGGCGATTAGGTGCCGTACGTGAAACGCCTGTTTGAGTCACACACGCAGTACATGTTTACTATAATTTGACGTAGTATTTACCTTGTCGTTTATTCAGTGTTATTTGCTTACTAAAGTATAGGTGGATTGATTCAGAGTAAAGGGGATATTGTTGTTAAGCTGAACATGTTTTAATCGTTGTATACAAACTGTATTTTGATTCAGATTCTGTTTATGAGGTATTCAAATTTGAGGATGATAAGCACTGAGCACACACATTATCAATCTCTGCCTTTTTAAAAATCATATGACATGATTATTTCTCGTTTTAGGTCGGCAAAGAGGGCGAGATTGAACAACGGCAACATCATCATCACCACCATAACCACCATCACCATCACAACCTGCCGTTGAAGCGTCTCTATAATCAGTATGAGATCGCCATAGACGAGGAGTTACATCATCATGATACTAAGTCGCTGTTAAAATGTTGCGAGTCGTTAGCTTTCTTAGTTCGAGATGCAGCGCACGTTACTCCTGATAACTTTGAGGCCTGCGTACATTGCATAAGGGTATTTGTGGAGGCCAGTGTTAATGGAGGTAGGAGTATATTATTAGTTTTATTTATTCGCTTAACACATCGCTTGCCGAAAGCCTCCACCAGTGCTAATAATGCTGTGTGCAGGATATGTGTTAATTAAATGAACAAACCTGACTGAATTGTCTCCGGTGTGGAAGCATCAATAGCTTGCTACCCACTGACTACATGTATGTTCACCACAAAATTGCAATTTTCTGTTCCGATTCATGAACTAGCAGACTCAACAGTTATGCTGACCAAATGTATCATGTGAACTGCCATATTTACAAGTACATCCCCAAAAGAATCGCACATCATTGTATACTGGATTATTAAAATATGACTTATTTTGACCATAGATGTATATCTCTGTCATATACACAAGTGCATCTACTCGTGCAAATACGATTAGGACTTGAACTCGCAATATATAAAAATATTACTGATTTTCCTTCGTCGTTGTCAACTTTACAATTTTAACTTTTTCAAAAATTACTATCAGACAGGTCACAGTTGAAGACTGTGGCCACATGTGATCCCTGGTAATTCAGAATTTTATGGTTGCCAGAGGATCTGTTCCTCAGGGTAATGGGGTGCGTGACCATGGCATGAGGACGCTGCGCCCCTGTACCCGTGCTTTGTACATATTTGTCATCAACCTTGTAATGTTTCTGTAGAGACATCCATCTATAAAGTCCTATCATATTGACATATTACAGGGCGACTATCAGTTGAACACAAAAGACATCGTCATGCCAAGGAAAAAGAAAGAAGTGCCAAACATAAAAAGAAAACTGCAATGAAAAAATCCAAGACATCACCAGCCCATTTGTCACGGTCAGCCAATGAAAATGAAGATACAGATAATGATGGTCCACCTGGAGGTTATCAGTCTCTTTCTATACAAGTATGTCTATTTATATCTTAGGTTATAACACTACACAAATATTGGCAACGTACTGTAGAAATGATTTGTTTGGTGTGTTGTTTACATTTTGATAAATGACTGAAAGGTGGTTGCAAGGAGGAAATTTAGAAAAAGTCACTGAGACTTCCTGTCTTAAGTACCTCTGACAGTAAAATCTTCACTGTAAAATCAGTTGCTTGAATTGCAAAATGTATCTAATGAAAAAGGCCTGTAGTATATATATGTACACAACATTGGGTAGAATACTGACTTTTTTCAGAGGGTGAATTTTCAAATGGCAATTAAAGTAAATTTTCTACCTGTCTCCCACATCCAGCTTTTGTGCGAGACTAAAAGCACCTACA